GTTTGATTCCCTACCTTAGTGATGCGTGGGTTTGATTCTCTACCTTAGTGATGCGTGGGTTTGATTCTCTACCTTAATGATTCGTGGGTTTGATTCCCTACCTTAGTGATTCGTGGGTTTGATTCCCTACCTTAGTGATGCGTGGGTTTGATTCCCTACCTTGGTGATTCGTGGGTGGCTACAGCGTAGGTTGTGTCGTCCGTGGTGCATCCAGCTGCTCTCGGCTGAAGAACAATGTTGTCTCAGGAGACACTTCCTGCTCTCTGAGCACCAGCCGCATTCAAAGGCTGTGGGAGCTTTGAGACACTGACCACAGCTGGAGCGCTGAGCTTCACACTTATACAGCAACGCTGAGGACACACACACACACACACACACACACACAGTAAAGATGTTATTTGGGGAGAGATTTTAAATGAGACATTCAGAATAAAATGTTTTTGATGAAATATCATTTTAAGCTTAGATTTGGTTGTTTTTTGACAGAAGCGTTGTTCACACGGAAAGATGAAAATCTCACGATAATGACAGCAAGTTTTACTGCTTCTGTGATAAACGGTGTAATTTTAGGGATTGTTAGAAGAAAACATGCATTTCCATCCCGCCATTCTTTGAATTGTCTTCTTCAGTGTAAAGAGGACAAAGAGTGTCAAAACGTTGGTCAATTATTAAAAAGTGTGCGACTATTTTTCCTTTACACTTCTTCTAAAGTAGTTTGTGCTTCTTACTTTCCGCATCAATTATATTTTTAATTATTGAATACAAAGACATTCATATTTGAGTATTAAAATGCTTCATTCATTTAGGGTCAACACGTTTTAATTGACATTAAATCTGGAAAACAATCACACTTCATCAGGATGATGATTGATAACATGTTCATGACTTTGTGTGTTTTACCTTTCATAGCTGAAGGCTTGTCGATGAAGAAGTCTCCGTCCCAGACGATGGAGAAGTCCACTGGGAGGTCTCCAGATTCGTCTCCTTCATACCAGTACTACGGAGGCCCAGAGAGGACAAAATCAGTCTGACACGGTTTAACTAGGAAACTAGTATTTTGCTAACACCAGGAACAATCATTACCATCCCATAATGTTCTGATGCAATGGAAACGTTGGAACGTCACTGCTCCAGTAAATAGGACGGACGACTTAGCTCAGAGAACCCTTCGGCTTAGCTACGAGACAGAAAGCTAATGTTATGGTATCATCAAGCTAATGGTATGCTAGCATCAAGCTAACATTATGCTGGCATTAAGCTAACATTATGCTGGGATCAAGCTAACATTATGTTAGCATCAAGCTAAAGTTTTGCTGGCAAGAAGCTAACATTATGGTAGTATTAAGCTAAAGTTATGCTAGCATCAAGCTAAAGTTATGCTGGCATTAAGCGACTGTTACGTTAGCATCAAGCTGATGTAATGCTAGCAAGATAAGATAAGATAAGAAGTGATTAACAAATAGTACATTTCCCTGAGGATAAATAAATCTTATCTTATCGCTAACATTTAATTAGCAGGTGTAACATCAGCTGTTAGATAGTATTTAGTGATTAAAGTGTTATTATATTTAAATGTGTAATGCAGCTCATTTTTCTACATATTAACTTACAGTAAATACTACTACAACACAATTCATCCTTTCCATTACAACACACAGCACTGTAGCAGAGACTAACCCAGCTAGTGTTGCTAATACCTGCTCCGCTAGTACTACAAGTACAGCTAATATTACTACAGGTAGCATAACAATATACTGTGTATTTGTACATCTAATAGTTGTACAAGTAGTACTACACAGAAAAACAAGGCCACACACACACACACACACACACACACACACACAGAGCAGACTGGTGTTGTCATGGCGCCTGCAGGTCTCTATGGAAACCAACAAAAAGCAGTCAGAGAAACAACGCAATGAACCTGATCGACCTGCTGCCCTCACCTGAGACACACAGGGGGGTAACGTCACTGCGTGAGTCAGATTATCTGGTGGCAGTCGAGTCGAGCTGACATAAAGTCCCTCTGTCTTTTCAACAGCGTTTTTGAGACTGAGACACACACACACACACACACACACACACAGATTAATTGAGAGGTGGCAGCTATATAACCTTACTTCAGCAAAAGAATGGAAAAACTGAGTCTGCTGCACACACACGCACACACATTAATTAAGAGATTTAATTTAGCCAGAGCAGCTTCAGTTCAATATTCCCTCATCAGCAAAAAAAATACTTTAACATCAAACCAGTATTAGTGCTTTTTACCTCACACACACACACGGCTGTAATTCATATTAAATATTAAAATGATCTTTTCTGCAGAGCTGTGAGAATGACCACGTTTTTCATAGTGTGTGTGTGTGCGTTTGCGTGCGTGCGTGTCAGAGCGATGACACACAGCTGAAATATGTGAAATACCACGACCAATCGAGAGAGAGAGCGGTGTGTGTGTGTGTCTAATGCTCTGATTTTCCATTAAAAGCAGCCAGCTGAGCCCAACAGAGCTGCATGAGTCACACATACACATATATTTATATATATATACATATACTGTGTATATATACATATCAGTGGTGGGCCGTCAGGGCCTGCTAAGCCTTCTCTGCTGGTCTAAACAGAATCACAAAGTTATAGCTATTTTATAATTTAATAATTTTTCTTAAATACACTACATGTATTATAATTCATATAAATATTTTCCCCATTATCTTATGTTCTCATTGCACAGCTCCTGTCTTCCTCAGTTGCTCTGCTTCCAGTGCAGCTTGTTTTAAGTAGAGCTTTTATCCAATCAGATTTCACCTCTGTGTCTCTAGGTAAGAACAGAGGCAGAGGCCTGCAGACTCACAAGTGAATCCATGTGCAGTTTAAGTGAATGGGGACGATATTGTTGATTGTCATAGTGTTCAACCAATCAGATCTTTAGTTTGACATGTTGGG